ACCCTCACTACTAAAAAATAATAAGAGAGTGACAGGAATGGAGAGACGGAGCGACAGAGAGAAATAGATGGTATGCTTACTGGTGCTCAGCTGTATGCTAACCTTGACTGTCATGATCCCATTGTCACATTGCATTAGTCCCTGTCACAAATGACAGGCCATTAGATTACACACAATGCCCCAGTCTAGCCCAGGTTAAAGTGTCACTGTGCTGCTGTCAGAGCCATGGGGTAAAGCATAGTAGCAGGATACTGTGTGTGTGTGTGAGATAATCCACAGGGGCTGTAAAGGAATCTAAGCTGTCCCATCCTCCTCACGATCTCTCCTCATTCAGTCAGTGTACTGTAGATAGTCTTTGTTGATCTCTATCCATCAGCTATCCAACACCTTATTACAGTAGGTGGTTGTTAGCCACTCCTAGGGTTGCAAAGCTACAGGTAATTTACCAAAGTTTCCAGAATTTTTATAATGAACAGAAAATCTATCTTAACATTGGTAATTTAAACTTGAATAACATATACAGTGAGGGAAAAAAGTATCTGATCCCCTGCTGATTTTGTACGTTTGCCCACTGACAAAGAAATGATCAGTCTGTAATTTTAATGGTAGGTTTATTTGAACAGTGAGGGACAGAATAACAAAGAAATCCAGAAAAACACATGTCAGAAATGTTATAAATTGATTTGCATTTTAATGAGGGAAATAAGTATTTGACCCCCTCTCAATCAGAAAGATTTCTGGCTCCCAGGAGACTTTTATACAGGTAACGAGCTGAGATTAGGAACACACTCTTAAAGGGAGTGCTCCTAATCTCAGGTTGTTACCTGTATAAAAGACACCTGTCCACAGAAGCAATCAATCAATCAGATTCCAAACTCTCCACCATGGCCAATACCAAAGAGCTCTCCAAGGATCTCAGGGACAAAATTGTAGACCTACACAAGGCTGGAATGGGTTACAAAACCATCGCCAAGCAGCTTGGTGAGGTGACAACAGTTGGTGCGATTATTCGCAAATGGAACAAACACAAAAGCACTGTCAATCTCCCTCGGCCTGGGGCTCCATGCAAGTTCTCACCTTGTGGAGTTGCAATGATCATGAGAACGGTGAGGAATCAGCCCAGAACTACACGGGAGGATCTTGTCAATGATCTCAAGGCAGCTGGGACCATAGTCACCAAGAAAACAATTGGTAACACACTACGCCGTGAAGGACTGAAATCCTGCAGCGCCCGCAAGGTTCCCCTGCTCAAGACAGCACATATACAGGCCCGTCTGAAGTTTGCCAATGACCATCTGAATGATTCAGAGGAGAACTGGGTGAAAGTTTTGTGGTCAGATGAGACCAAAATGGAGCTCTTTGGCATCAACTCAACTCGCCGTGTTTGGAGGAGGAGGAATGCTGCCTATGACCCCAAGAACACCATCCCCACCGTCAAACATGGACGTGGAAACATTATGCTTTGGGGGTGTTTTTCTGCTAAGGGGACAGGACAACTTCACCGCATCAAAGGGACGATGGACGGGGCCATGCACCGTCAAATCTTGGGTGAGAACCTCCTTCCCTCAGCCAGGGCATTGAAAATGGGTCGTGGATGGGTATTCCAGCATGACAATGACCGAAAACACACGGCCAAGGCAACAAAGGAGAAGCACATTAAGGTCCTGGAGTGGCATAGCCAGTCTCCAGACCTTAATCCCATAGAAAATCTGTGGAGGGAGCTGAAGGTTTGAGTTGCCAAACGTCAGCCTCGAAACCTTAATGACTTGGAGAAGATCTGCAAAGAGGAGTGGGACAAAATCCCTCCTGAGATGTGTGCAAACCTGGTGGCCAACTACAAGAAACGTCTGACCTCTGTGATTGCCAACAAGGGTTTTGCCACCAAGTACTAAGTCATGTTTTGCAGAGGGGGCAAATACTTATTTCCCTCATTAAAATGCAAATCAATTTATGACATTTTTGACATGCGGTTTTTTCTGGATTTTTTTGTTATTCTCTCTCTCACTGTTCAAATTAACCTACCATTAAAATTATAGACTGATCATGTCTTTGTCAGTGGGCAAACGTACAAAATCAGCAGGGGATCAAATACTTTTTTCCCTCACTGTGTGTGTGTGTGTGTGTGTGTGTGTGTTAGTTATACGTTTTACAGTGCATTCGAAAAGTATTAAGACCCTTTTACTTTTTCCACATTTTGTTACATTACAGCCTTATTCTGAAATTGATTAAATTGTTTTTCCCCTCATCAATCTACACACAATACCCCATTAATGACAAAGCAAAAACAGGTTTTTATAAATTTTTGCAAATTTATAAAATAAACTAAACGGAAATATTACATTTACATAAGTATTCGGACCCTTTACTCAGAACTTTGTTGAAGCACCTTTGACAGCGATTACAGCCTCGAGTCTTCTTGGGTATGACGCTACAAGCTTGGCACACCTGTATTTGGGGAGTTACTCCCCTTCTTCTCTGCAGATCCTCTCAAGCTCTGTCAGGTTGGATGGGGAGCGTCGCTGCACCGCTATTTTCAGGTCTTTCCAGAGATGTTCGGTTGGGTTCAAGTCTGGGCTCTGACTGGGCCACTCAAGGACATTCAGAGACTTGTCCCGAAGCCACTCCTGCGTTGTCTTGGCTGTGTGGTTAGGGTCGTTGTCCTGTTGGAAGGTGAACCTGCTCTGGAGCAGGTTTTCATCAATGATCTCTCTGTACTTTTCTCCATTCATCTTTCCCCTCGACCCTGACTAGTTTCCCAGTCCCTGCCGCTGAAAAACATTCCCACAGCATGATGCTGCCACCACCATGCTTCACCATAGGGATGGTGCCAGATTTCCTCCAGATGTGACGTTTGGCATTCAGGCCAAAGAGTTAATTATTGGTTTCATCAGAGAATATTGTTTGTCATGGTCTGAGAGTCCTTTAGTTGCCTTTTGGCAAACTCCAAGCAGGTTGTCGTGCCTTTTACTGAGGAGTGGCTTCTGTCTGGCCACTCTACCATAAAGGCCTGATTGGTGGAGTGCTGCAGAGATGGTTGTCCTTCTGGAAGGTTCTCCCATCTCCACAGAGGAACTCTGAAGCTCTGTCAGTGACCATTGGGATCTTGGTCACCTCCCTGACCAAGTCCCTTCTCCCCCGATTGCGCAGTTTGGCCAGGCGTCCAGCTCTAGGAAGAGTCTTGGTGGTTCCATTTAAGAATGATGGAGGACGCTGTGTTCTTGGAGACCTTTAATGCTGCAGAAATGTTTTTGTACCCTTCCCCAGATCTGTGCCACAACACAATCCTGTCTAGGAGCTCTACGGACAATTTAGTCAACCTCATGGCTTGATTTTTGATCTGACATACGCTGTCATAACTGTGGGACCTTATATAGACAGGTGTGTGCCTTTCCAAATCATGTCCAATCAATTGAATGTACCACAGGTTGACTCCAATCAAGTTGTAGAAACATCTCAAGGATCATCAATGGAAATAGGATGCACCTGAGCTCAATTTCGAGTCTCATAATAAAGGGTCTGAATACTTATGTAAATAAGGTATTTCTGTTGTATTTTTATTAAATTGCAAAAAATTCTAAACATGTTTTCGCTTAGTCTTTATGGGGTATTGTGTGTAGATTGAGGATTTTTTATTTATTTAATCCATTTTAGAATAAGGCGGTAATGTAACAAAATGTGGAAAAAATCAAGGGGTCTGAACACTTTCCGCATGCACTGTATATATGTGTCCATATTGTAGTAGTAGATAGACCATATGGTTCAAGAGAAAATAGCCTAATTTAAAAAGCATCTAATCAACAAAGGCATTATTTTCAATTAACTCTTCCAACTTTTTTCACAACTGCAAACAGTTTGACGAGAAAACATTGTCAACAAATACATATTGACATAGTAAAAAAAAAGTTATGGTTTATATTTAGGTTAATGTTTTAAATCTTTGTATTTTAAAATCATCATATTTCATATATTTTACATGTGATGAGGCCACACAGAGGGCCAGAGATTATTAGACACGTGATAGTCTGAAGGACCCAAAGCAGCCATTGGGATGTCTTGTGATAGATTACATAAAATCATTGAAAGATACCAAAATTCTGGTAGTTTACTGGTACACTTCGAAAGTTTCCAGTAATATACCCTCCCTTTGCAACCCTAGCCACTTCAGCCACCACACTGGGGCTGCACTGCCAGATGCTTTTTTTACCCACACAACAACACAGTTTGAATCAGCTCCGAGCCTAGAACTCTCTGCTGTATTCAGACAGTCAGAACTGAGTTAATATCAGAGAACATGGTTGTACTCTGCCCCCACTCACCCCTGAGAGAAGTGTGTGTGTGTGTGTGTGTGTATGTGTACCGTGGAGTGTGTGTGTGTGTACAGCGACGTGTGGCAGCACTCTGCTGTGATTGTCTCTGACTCTGACTGCCTACTCCAGAATGCGAGCTCCCAGCATGCCCCTCTCATGCACCCCCATATGCTGGTACATATTTTTTTAATGAGCCCAATGTTTGGGCTCTCTTGCTCTCTCTCTCTCTCTCTCTCTCAAAATCCTTGTAGGACAACTAAGATGCAGCCAGCCAGTGTGCCATCATTTGGCACACTGGTGGTCCTCTGTAGCTCAGCTGGTAGAGCACGGCGCTTGTAACGCCAAGGTAGTGGGTTCGATCCCCGGGACCACCCATACACAAAAAAAATGTATGCACACATGACTGTAAGTCGCTTTGGATAAAAGCGTCTGCTAAATGGCATATTATATTATATTATTATTTGGGGAGTGGCTTTATTAATATACACTACACAACTCAGAGGCCCAATTCGAAACCAGCCCCTAACCCAAGGCTGTAAGCACTTTGTGTAGTTTCTGAAACGACTCCTTGGATAGCTGTGAAATTCCACCTGCTGCCAAGGACAAGTTGGAGCCATTTAACACAGTGATTTATATTGATTCCTCCCACCTACTAAGTTATTTAAACTCTGCCTTGTGTTTTGTGTCCTGTAGAATATCTTCAACAACCACATGTTGGATGTGAACGTCCGATGGCTTGCTGTGCTCTACTTCAAAAACGGCATCGACAGGTACTGGAGGAGAGTCGCACCAAAGTAAGCATTCTCTCTTCTACCTCCCTCTCTTCTTCTCTCGCTTTTTACTCGTCTTCTCTCTCTTCTAGCCGTTCTACGATGAAAAAAAATATCTTCCCACACCTCTCCCATCGTCATGTTTCAGTATTAATGGCAAGTTCTGCAAATTGATTGGGCTCAGCTGTGTGTTTTGTGTGATCACATTGCTATTCATTGGCACCATTCTCTTACGTCTGTCTAGTTTAGGTCATACTGATAGTGTTGTACATACACAACCTATGGGATGGCATTCTCCAGTCACACCTATGACATTGTTCTGGGGTTGCTGACTAGCCTAATGTTTCAAGTTCACCCACAGGTCCACCGAACAAAGACTGTCTTTAACCACCTCACCTCAAAGACAATCAGTTCTGCCTCTGGAATCTCCAGACATTCTTTTCTTTTTTACCTCTCCTTTCTTTTCTTTTGTAGGTGTGGGTAGTTCATTGTCATTTATCAAACAGAGCCTTTGTCACCTCTGCTTGCTGTGGAAGGTGCAATCAACTCCTGGCCATTGATTTGTGCTTAATGCACCCAGTGCCTACAGAAGTTGGCCAATTTACTGGGGGAAACTACCTGCGGGCCTTTTGCAAACTTCTACCGGGGTTAGGACTTCTGCTACTTTTTATGGGATGGGGGTGCGCTTCCCTCTTCCTCTGTCCCTCTTCTTCACATCACACTTCACTCAATCCCCTCTCTCTTCTCTCTTCCTCAAGGATGAGACTCAATCAAGCTCTCCCTGTCTTCCTCTCCCTCCTTTCCCTCTCTCTCTCCTCCTTTAATTCCTATTTTCTCATCCACCGCTGCCACCTCCACTTCCTCACTCTTCTTAACATTCTTACCTCTCTCCATAATTCTCTCTCGCGCGCTCTGTCTCGCGCGCTCTGTCTCGCGCGCTCTGTCTCGCGCGCTCTGTCTCGCGCGCTCTGTCTCGCGCGCTCTGTCTCGCGCGCTCTGTCTCGCGCGCTCTGTCTCGCGCGTTCTCCCCTCCCTCTATCTCTCTCTCTCCCTCTATTAACAATAGAACCGCTGGGCCTCGAGGGACCCCCTTCAAGCTAATGAGCAGTCCTTCTGACTGCAACATTCTAACAGTGTAATTAATACATTTCATATATGCTATTGCAAAGATAATAAATTGGTGTTTATGATAAAATGGGAAAATTAGAATATTAATTTTATTTCAAGTAACACAATAGCATTTTCATTAGTTTGTTACTGTAGGCTATATGTAAAAACCAAAAAACACATTCGGTGGGCTGATATAGGGACATACCATTGTAAGATTATAATTAGAACAGATCAATACAATATAATGGCCTGCACTGTTCTTCATTCACAATTGGTGATTACATAATTATGCATCTTTCGCTTCCCCTTGCTCATCAACTGACCCATTCAACCCCTTTCTCCCCATCATACCTTATTTAATTTATTTAATCTCTTATGTGTGAAATTAGTTAAGGTTTAGGTTCAGTTTCGAGGCAATTATCAAGGTGATTATCAGCTGGGCACTGCACTTTCAACTGTGGGGAGAAGTAGGGGCAACGGGGGAAAATCATTCAAAAAATGACATGCCCTCCTAAAACTGGTTATAACTCCAGTTCTGTTTGTGATATTTAAGACTAACAACGACAGTGTTATATAGACTTATTTAGGAAAAGTCAAGAATGGAGGGCGGCATGACTTTAAAAATGGCAGAGTAATACATTTGTTTTATTTACAGTGAGGGAAAAAAGTATTTGATCCCCTGCTGATTTTGTACGTTTGCCCACTGACAAAGACATGATCAGTCTATAATCTTAATGGTAGGTTTATTTGAACAGTGAGAGACAGAATAACAACAACAAAAATCCAGAAAAACGCATGTCAAAAATGTTATAAATGGATTTACATTTTGATGAGGGAAATAAGTATTTGACCCCTCTGCAAAACATGACTTAGTACTTGGTGGCAAAGCCCTTGTTGGCAATCACAGAGGTCAGACGTTTCTTGTAGTTCGCCACCAGGTTTGCACACATCTTTGCAGATCTTCTCCAAGTTATTAAGGTTTCGAGGCTGACGTTTGGCAACTCGAACCTTCAGCTCCCTCCACAGATTTTCTATGGGATTAAGGTCTGGAGACTGGCTAGGCCACTCCAGGACCTTAATGTGCTTCTTCTTGAGCCACTCCTTTGTTGCCTTGGCCGTGTGTTTTTGGTCATTGTCATGCTGGAATACCATCCATGACCCATTTTCAATGCCCTGGCTGAGGGAAGGAGGTTCTCACCCAAGATTTGACGGTACATGGCCCCGTCCATCGTCCCTTTGATGCGGTGAAGTTGTCCTGTCCCCTTAGCAGAAAAACACCTCCAAAGCATAATGTTTCCACCTCCATGTTTGACGGTGGGGATGGTGTTCTTGGTCATAGTCAGCATTCCTCCTCCTCCAAACACGACGAATTGAGTTGATGCCAAAGAGCTTGATTTTGGTCTCATCTGACCACAACACTTTCACCCAGTTCTCCTCTGAATCATTCAGATGTTCATTGGCAAACTTCAGACGGCCCTGTATATGTGCTTTCTTGAGCAGGGGGACCTTGCGGGCGCTGCAGGATTTCAGTCCTTCACGGCGTAGTGTGTTACCAATTGTTTTCTTGGTGACTATGGTCCCAGCTGCCTTGAGATCATTGACAAGATCCTCCCGTGTAGTTCTGGGCTGATTCCTCACCGTTCTCATGATCATTGCAACTCCACGAGGTGAGATCTTGCATGGAGCCCCAGGCCGAGGGAGATTGACAGTTATTTTGTGTTTCTTCCATTTGCGAATAATCGCACCAACTGTTGTCACCTTCTCACCAAGCTGCTTGGCGATGGTCTTGTAGCCCATTCCAGCCTTGTGTAGGTCTACAATCTTGTTCCTGACATCCTTGGAGAGCTCTTTGGTCTTGGCCATGGTGGAGAGTTTGGAATCTGATTGATTGATGGCTTCTGTGGACAGGTGTCTTTTATACAGGTAACAAACTGAGATTAGGAGCACTCCCTTTAAGAGTGTGCTCCTTATCTCAGTTCGTTACCTGTATAAAAGACACCTGGGAGCCAGTAATCTTTCTGATTGAGAGGGGGTCAAATACTTATTTCCCTCATTAAAATGCAAATCAATTTATAACATTTTTGACATGCGTTTTTCTGGATTTTTCTGTTGTTATTCTGTCTCTCACTGTTCAAATAAACCTACCATTAAATTTATAGACTGATCATGTCTTTGTCAGTGGGCAAACGTACAAAATCAGCAGGGAATCAAATACTTTTTTCCCTCACTGTATGAGCAGTCAAAATGACTGCTTCAGCAGTTCTAGTGTTAGCCCGGGTCAGTGTATACAATAGGTTCGTACAGAGACAGAGCTATCCCTCACTGCTGCTCTCTCTATCATCTTCATATCGTATCAGCCCTCTATATTAAAGCCTGCGCTGTGGTGCTTTCTCGCTGGCTCTCTCCCTGGGGAAATTGGATTCAAAGCAGAACGCGTCTCTCACAGGATATCAGCTGGGTGCTGTCAGGCAGTTGATAATGCCATGGCTTTCCTCTCCCTCTCAAATGGAAGAGTATGGAAATGTAATAATACTAGGGTCATTCTCGCTGACCGCCTCACTAAAGAAGCAGATGGTGATATTTGACAGGAATTGCACACGGTCAATGTGCCTCCCCCTCCTTTCCTTTAGCATATTGAGGCCTCAAACAATTCCATCAGAGTGGAGAGCGTTTCTGATAACACAAATTTGAAGCAGTCAACTGATTCAAAATGGATATTGGGTATTGAAAATATGTTTGCGTTGATGTTTGGCATTACATTGTAACCTTCCTTATTGTAACCTAGATCTGTGTGTGTGTGTGTGTGTGTGTCCAGTGCTCTGTCAGAAGAGGAGAAGACGTCGCTGCGAGCTGGCCTGATCACGAACTTCAACGAGCCCGTCAACCAGGTCAGTCATATGTTTGCGTTAGCTGACAACCAATTACTTTTGTTTGCGTGAGCTGTCAACCAATGACTGGTCCATTTCAGACCTTCATTTCATCGACCACCATCACTAAGTGGAACACTCCCAAACACCTTTCCAATATGTCCATTTGGCTCTGCCTTCGAGAAGTGGCCGTACTTCTACAGGGCCCCCTACCTAGGGATACTACTCCAGTAGTAGCAGTGGCTGTCTGTGTCCGTATGGAGAGCAATTCAGCCATTCTAGCCCCATGTGTCTCATGTCTCTTACTCTCTCTGTCAACCCTCTGGACAGGAGGTTGACTCCATCAGCAATCTGCTGGGATCCAATTATGTGGGCGTGGTCCAGAGTTCATCTCCCCTAAGGCTGCATATAATGTAACCTTACCTTATGACACATCACCACCAAATGCCTCAGAGAGAGAGAGCGAAAGAGAGTGTGCTGCGCGTATGCTCAAGCAAAAATCCAAAAAGAAGAGAGTGCTCCGCTTGCCATACTGCATTTTGATCAATGTCCCTGTTCTGCTTCTGCTATGACTGTAATGCAGATAAGTGAGTTTTGCCCGATCACACCATTTGTCTTCATACACACATACAAATATGATTCAGCTTTATTGCTATCTGTGCAGTCAGTGCAGTGACACTTTTTACTGAAGCTTATTGGCCTATCTTCAGTCTCTAGCAAGTTATCAAATGTTATTTGTCACATGCTTCGTAAACAACAGGTAAAATGCTTAATTACTGGCCCTTCCCAACAATGCAGAGAGAAAGGAAATAGAGAAATAATAGGAAAGTAATAACACGTAATAATAAATACGATAACTTGGCTATATACACGGGGTACCAGTACCGAGTCGATGTGCAGGGGTTATGCAATCGAAAATCACATCAAACACATATCAAAACAGTATCATGCTTTTAAAACTGTTAGGCTATGTTTTTTGACCTCACTGTGATGAAACTGAGTGGAAAACATGGTAATTGTGGATGTTCTTTGAAAGCCAAAAGCAACGAAATGGACAGCGCTTTCTAAGGTGATGATTAATTCAAAGTATTTAAGACGTTGCATGTAGAACCTACCAGCTCTCACAGTCTCACTTCAGAATTAGACATTCATCCATGTTTCTCAAACCGTAACATTTCTAAGTGTTTAAGGATACAGTGCATTTGGAAAGTATTCAGACCCCTTGACTTTTTCCACATTTTGTTACGTTACAGCCTTATTCTAAAATGGATTCAATAGTTTTTTCCCCTCATCGATCTACACGCAATACCCCATAATGACAAAGCAAAAACAGCTTTGCCCAATCCTCATAAAAAACGGAAATATCACATTTACATAAGTATTCAGACCCTTTACTCAGTACTTTGTTGAAGGACCTTGGGCAGTGATTACAGCCTCAAGTATTCTTGGGTATGACGCTACAAGCTTGGCACACCTGTATTTGAGGAGTTTCTCCCCTTCTTCTCTGCAGATCCTCTCAAGCTCTGTGAGGTTGGATGGGTAGCGTCGCCGCACAACCATTTTCAGGTGTCTCCAGAGATGTTCGATCAGGTTCAAGTCCGGGCTCTGGCTGGGCCAGTCAAGGACATTCAGGGACTTGTCCCGAAGCCACTCCTGCGTTGTCTTGGCTGTGTGCTTAGGGTCGTTGTCCTGTTGGAAGGTGAACCTTCACTCCAGTCTGAGGTCCTGAGTGCTCTGGAGCAGGTTTTCATCAAGGATCTCTCTGTACCTTGCTCCGTTCATCTTTCCCTCTATCCTGACTAGTTTCCCAATCCCTGGTGCTGAAAAACATAACCACAGCATGATACTGCCACCACCATGCCTCACCGTAGGGATGGTATTGGCCAGGTGATGAGCGTTGCCTGGTTTCCGCCAGACATGACGCATGGCATTCAGGCCAAAGAGTTACAGTTTGGTTTCATCAGACAATACCTTCACCAAGGCCAGTCCCCTGGTCCTGATCGGTTCAGATCACCCCCACTTGCTAACAGATGGAACCGGTGCGCATGGGCCCTTAAGGTGGACCTGTTACAGTCAACACAAGACTTGGTTGGGCACTCCAAGGGCCTTCTAACTTCCCGTCCAATTCCGGCAAGGAATTGTGCCTGTTCACTTCCACCATCTCCCGTTCAGATGACCTCTTCCACTATGTGGAGAAGCTGTGGCAGATAGATACCGCAACGAGAAGATGGCGACCAGGTCTAAGCAAGATCATGAGGCTATCCGCACCCTTGAGACTGACACCGTTCGCGTGACTGTTGGAGATGCTACGCCACTCCTTTACTCTGAGTTCAGGACTCTCTACGCTTGAAAGCACCCAAGGAGGCAGTCTTGGGTCATCTGAGGAGCCCTGAGCGGCGACTAGCCAAGAACCCAGAGCAGGCGAAGATCTACTGCCAAGAAGTTCAGAAGCTAGAAACTGTAAGCTATGTGATCAAGCTCCCCCAAGAAGAGGTTGACTGCAGAGGAGTCCTGATCCATCTCGTGCACCACAACAGAAAGAACAGGTTAATGTTCAGCTGTTCCTTCACGTATAAGGGCCAAGTTGTAAATGAACTCCTCCTACAACTACCCACCTTGAGTCCTTCTCTCCTTGGCAGCCATCTGAAATTCAGGCAGCTCACAGTGGCTGTCTGTGGAGACATCAAGGCAATGTTTCAAGTGCGCCCCCAAGACCGAGGCCTTCTCCGATTCCTGTGGAGGGATCTGAAAAGTGACAAACGACCAGACGTCTACGAGTGGCAGATTCTTCCTTTTCGCCCCTGCTGCGCCACATTCACCTTGCAGCAACATGTGCGAGATCACAAGGATGTTAACGAGGATGTGCTACAGATGGTGGAACATGCCTTCTACGTCGACAATTGCCTGCATACAGTGCCTTGCAAAAGTATTCATCCCTCTTGCCGTTTTTCCTGTTTTGTTGCATTACAACCTGTAATTTAAATAGATTTTTTAATGGATTTCATGTAATGGACATACACAAAATAGTCCAAATTGGTGATGTGAAATTGAAAAAATTACTTTTCATAAATTCAAAAAAATAAATTAACGGAAAATTGGTTTGTGCATATGTATTCACCCCCTTTGCTATTTCCTTACCTCCATAACTATTGCCTTACCTCCATAACTTACTACATTTGCACACTGTATATATATTTTCTAGTCTGCAACACCACTAAGCAAGGGGCACCACCAAGCAAGCGGCACCATGAAGACCAAGGAGCTCTCCAAACAGGTCAGGTAAAAAGTTGTGGAGAAGTACAGATCAGGGATGGGTTATAAAAAAATATCAAACTTTGAACATCCCACAGAGCACCATTAAATCCATTATTAAAAAATGTGAAGAATATGGCACCACAACAAACCTGCCAAGAGAGGGCTGCCCACCAAAACTCACGGACCAGGCAAGGAGGGCATTTATCAGAGCGGCAACAAAGAGACCAAAGATAACCCTGAAGGAGCTGCAAAGCTCCACAGCGGAGATTGGAGTATCTGTCCATAGGACCACCTTAAGCCATACACTCCACAGAGCTGGGCGTTACGGAAGAGTGGCCAGAAAAAAGCCATTGCTTAAAGAAAAAAAGAAGCAAACACGTTTGGTGTTTGCCAAAAGGCATGTGGGAGACTCCCCAAACATATGCAAGAAGGTACTCTGGTCAGATGAGACCAAAATTGAGCTTTTTGGCTATCAAGGAAAACGCAATGTCTGGCGCAAACCCAACACCTCTCATCACCCCGAGAACACCATCCCCACAGTGAAGCATGGTGGTGGCAGCATCATGATGTGGGGATGTTTTTCATCGGCAGGGACTGGGAATATAATAATAATAATAATAATAATAATAATAATAATAATAATAATAATATGCCATTTAGCAGACGCTTTTATCCAAAGCGACTTACAGTCGTGCGTGCATACATTTTTGTGTATGGGTGGTCCCGGGGATCGAACCCACTACCTTGGCGTTACAAGCGCCGTGCTCTACCAGCTGAGCTACAGAGGACCACAGGGAAACTGGTCAGAATTGAAGGAATGATGGATGGTGCTAAATACAGGGGAAATCTTTGGGGAAACCTGTTTCAGTCTTCCAGAGATTTGAGACTGGGACAGAGGTTCACCTTCCAGCAGGACAATGACCCTAAGCATACTGCTAAAGTAACACTCAAGTGGTTTAAGGGGAAACATTTAAATGTCTTGGAATGGCCTAGTCAAAGCCCAGACCTCAATCCAATTGAGAATCTGTGGTATGACTTAAAGATTGCTGTAAACCAGCGGAACCCATCCAACATGAATGAGCTGGAGCAGTTTTGCCTTGAAGAATGGGCAAAAATCCCTGTGGCTAGATGTGCCAAGCTTATAGAGACATACCCCAAGAGACTTGCAACTGTAATTGCTGCAAAAGGTGGCTCTACAAAGTATTGACTTTGGGGGGTGAATAGTTATGCATGCTCAAGTTCTGTTTTTTTGTCCCCCAAGACCGTGTGGACCCTGAAGAGCCCACATTAGGACTCCAATGGCACTGCCCTACAGACACATTGGGGTACAAGTACCGCCCTGTGGTGGAGCTGACGTCCACCATGAGGACGCAGACCTCCCTTCGTAGAAAGGAAGATGTAGGCTTTTACTAAGTTCGAATTAGTTACGCTAATTCTGGGGTGGCTGTACAAAAGCCCATTAGATTTGTATTTAGAATCCTCTCTAAATGTAATTTGATCTACAAGGAGATTTGATTGATCTGTCAGTATTTTCATTTAGAGATTCCTTTCATGTGTCCTACCAATTATTACTGGATTATTCACCATGGCAACCAATTGTTAATATAAAAATTGAACTTATTTCTCAGTTCGGTTGGCTTTCGTGGAGATCAGACAGTTTTCATTTGCAGGGATATTTGTGTGTTTTTGAACAAATGTAAGTCAGAAGAAATACTTATTTCACTTTTATAACATTCCTGTTGCTATTGTTTATATGTAAATACAAGATATTTGTATGTAGAGGGGTAACTTTCTTCACCAGTTCTCTTACTATTTTGTACAATTATGTGATTAGCCTACCAGTTGGTGTAACTGTAGTGTTAATTATCCTGAAAGGAATTATGGTGTTATTTTTCTCTTCTTGTAAAGTGTGTATAGAGATTGCTGACATTACTGTTTAATGTAATATTTTTTTATTGGATTTACATTGAAGTAATTTTCAATTTATTTTATCCTGTTTCCGTCTGTACACAGACTACATCTACGTTCATGGTCAAAAGTTGAGAATGACGCAAATATTAATTTTCACAAAGTCTGCTGCCTCTGTTTTTATGATGGCAATTTGCATATACTCCAGAATGTTATGAAGAGTGATTCGATGAATTGCAATTAATTGCAAAGTCCCTCTTTGCCATGAAAATGAACTTAATCCCCCCAAAAACATTTCCACTGAATTTCAGCCCTGCCACAAAAGGACCAGCTGACATCATGTCAGTGATTCTCTCGTTAACACAAGTGAGTGTTGACGAGGACAAGGCTGGAGATCACGCTGTCATGCTGATTGAGTTAGAATAACAGACTGGAAACTTTAAAAGGAGGGTGGTGCTTGAAATCATTGTTCTTCCTCTGTTAACCATGGTTACCAGCAAGGAAACACGTGCCATCATCCTTGCTTTGCACAAAAAGGGCTTCACAGGCAAGGATATTGCTGCTAGTAAGATTGCACCTAAATCAACCATTTATCGGATCATCAAGAACTTCAAGGAGAGAGGTTCAATTGTTGTGAAGAAGGCTTCAGGGCGCCCAAGAAAGTCCAGCAAGCGCCAGGACCGTCTCCTAAAGTTGATTCAGCTGTGGGATCAGGGCACCACCAGTGCAGAACTGCTCAGAAATGGCAGCAGGCAGGTGTGAGTGCATCTGCATGCACAGTGTGGCAAAGACTTTTGGAGGATGGCCTGGTGTCAAGAAGGGCAGCAAAGAATCCACTTCTCTCCAGGAAAAACATCAGGGACAGACTGATATTCTGCAAAAGGTACAGGGATTGGACTGCTGATGCTGGGGTAAAGTCATTTTCTCAGATGAATCCCCTTTCCGATTGTTTGGGGCATCCGGAAAAAAGCTTGTCCGGAGAAGACAAGGTGAGCGCTACCATCAGTCCTGTGTCATGCCAACAGTAAAGCATCCTGAGACCATTCATGTGTGGGGTTGCTTCTCAGCCAAGGGAGTGGGCTCACTCACAATTTTGCCTAAGAACACAGCCATGAATAAAGAATGGTACCAACACATCCTCCGAGAGCAACTTCTCCCAACCATCCAAGAACAGTTTGGTGACGAACAATGCCTTTTCCAGCATGATCGAGCACCTTGCCATAAGGCAAAAGTGATAACTAAGTGGCTCGTTGAACAAAACATCGACATTTTGAGTCCATGGCCAGGAAACTCCCCAGACCTTAATCCCATTGAGAACTTGTGGTCGATCCTCAAGAGGCGGGTGGACAAACAAAAAACCCACAAATTCTGACAAACTCCAAGCATTGATTATGCAAGAATGGGCTGCCATCAGTCAGGATGTGGCCCAGAAGTTAATTGACAGCATGCAAGGGCGGATTGCAGAGATCTTGAAAAAAAGGGTAAACACTGCAAATATTGACTCTTTGCATAAACTTAATGTAATTGTCAATAAAAGCCTTTGACACTTATGGAATGCTTGTAATTATACTTCAGTATACCATAGAAACACCTGACAAAAATATCTAAAAACACTGAAGCAGCAAACTTTGAAGACCAATACTTGTGTCATTCTCAAAACTTTTGACCACGACTGTATACTCTGTTTCATCATTAGAATCCTAGGGGGACTTATGTGCCTGTTATCACTCCTTGACCAGAGTGCAGTCCGGTATCCGATTACTCCCAGTGGCCTATCCACACATTAGAGAGCACCGGACTCCGTTTTATCTGTAGCAAATGTTTACGTTTTCTTTAACTACCTAATTCTATATCTAGCTAAAGATTTGTGATTATTTGTCAGTATGTCTGAGAACAGTCCCATAACTTTGGTGCAGTACAACTTCATCAGCGTGCTGGCAAACTAGCTACCGTAATGGCCATTCAAACATGCTAGCACTAAGCTGCTGCTAACTGGAAAAGGTTTGCTCTGCTGATCGAACATGGTTTTCCTTAGTAGCCACTAGACAGTGCGTCTGCCGCCGGTGTTCCATATCTACAGTAGTCATGGGAGAGCACAGTTATTTTAAAAGTTAGGAACTAGTGTTAATTAGGCGGATGAGCAAAATCAAGATTTGTATACACTGAACAAAAATATAAATGCAACATGCAACAATTAAAGGTTTTACTGAGTTACAGTTCATATACAGAAAGCAGTCCTAATCTATGGCTTTCACATGACTGGGAATACAGATATGAATCTGTTGGTCAGTTGTTAGTGTTGTAGACAAGGACGCATGGAGCGCAGCAAAATCGCCTCAATTAGCCTTGCTAACTAGCTAGCTGACAAACTAATTTAGCTGGCTAGTGTAGCTAGCTAGCTTCTTTACCTCGATTTGATGCAGTCAAGACAGACACTACCAGAAGAGATGATAGATAACCTATAGCAGCAACAAGTCTAACTTTTGCGAGTTGGTTTGGCTACTTTCTCTCTCTTTCTCCCTCTGTGTCAGACACACTGGCCCCTGCTCCTCTCGCGACCCTCCCCCACTTGTCTGTGCTGAAACAACAAGCAGAGAGCATGTCCCCTTTTGAAGTTGCAAAAAAATTGTTTATTTAAAACATGTATTTCGACTATCCGGATATTCGAAAAACATTCCTGATATTATTCAAATAATGTTTAATGTATTGTATATGTTTCCTGTATGAACAGATAGCCACCCAGATAGCGGTGCTGATAGCCAAGGTGGCCCGTCTGGACTGTCCCCGCCAGTGGCCAGAGCTGATCCCAATCCTGCTGGAGTCCGTGAAGGGTCAGGACGGGCTGCAGCAGCACAGGGCTCTACTCACCTTCTACCATGTCACCAAGACCCTGGCCTCCAAACGCCTGGCACAGGACAAACGACTGTTTCAGGACGTAAGGACGCCCTTCGCTACATCTCTTTCTCGCTCTTCCTTTTTCTTTACTTTCCCTATTTATTTCGCCCTCTCTGTCTTTGTGTGTCTAAACACTTAGTGTCTTCAGAAAGTATTCACACCCCTTGACTTTTTCCACATTTTTGTGTTACAGCCTGAATTTTAAATTGATTAAATATAGATTTTGTGTCACTGGCCTACACACAATACCTCATAATGTCAAAATGAAATTGCTTTTAGACATTTTTACAAATTAATTAATAATGGAAAGCTGAAATGTCTTGAGTCTAAGTATTCAACCCCTTTTGTTATGGCATGCCTAAATAAGTTCAGGAGTAAAAATTTGCTTAACAAGTCACATACGTTTCATGGACTCACTTTGTGTGCAATAATAGTGTTTAATGTTTTTTAATGACTACTTAATCTCTGTACCCCACACATACAATTATCTGTAAGGTCCTTCAGTCGAGAAGTGGATTTCAAACACAGATTCAACCACAAAGACCAGGGAGGTTTTCCAATGCCTCGCAAAGTAGGGCACCTATTGGTAGATGGATAAAACAAAAGCAGACATTGAATATCCCTTTGATCATGGTGAAGTTATTAATTACACTATGGATGGTATATCAATACACTCAGTCACTACAAAGATACAGGTGAGTGGTGTACCAGGATGTACCAAACATGTTGTGGCCTAGTTACAGTTTGGACTTCAATCAGCTTTTGAATCTATGGAAAGACTTAAATGGCTGTCTAGCAATAATCAACAACTAACTTGACAGAGCTTAGAAAGAAGAAGAATGTGCAAATATTGTACAATCCAGGTGTGCAAAGCTCTTAGACTTACCCAGAAAGACTCCCAGCTTTACCCAGAAAGACTCACAGCTTTAATCGCTGCCATAGGTGATTCTAACATGTATTGACTTAGGGGTGTGAGTACTTATGTAAACAAGATTTCTGTATTTCATTTTCAATACATTTGCTAAAGTTTCTAAAAACATGTTTTCACTTTGTCATTGTGGGGTATTGTGAGTAGATAGGTGAGAGAAAGAAATCTACTTTGTAGCTCAGTCCCGTGTAGCTCAGTTGGTAGAGCATGGCGCTTCCATGCCAGGGTTGTGGGTTCGATTCTCACGGGGGGCCAGTATGAAAATGTATGCACTCACTAACTGTAAGTCGCTCTGGATAAGAATGTCTGCTAAATGACTAAAATGTAGATAGGTGAGAGAAAGAAATCTATTGAATCCATTTTGGATTCAGGCTATAACACCACAAAATGTGGAATAAGTCAAGAGGTATGAATATTTTCTGACGCCACTGTATTTTTCTCTTGTGCATTCATTCTCTGTAATTCAAAATTGTATTTCCTTCCTCCGCCTGCCCATCCCTGCTGCTCTCTTCCTCTGTTTGATCCTTGTGCTGTGCCAGCCTTGGCCTCTGGGGGTCTCTGTTTAGCTGTGTGCTGACTTCTCTGCACTTACACACACACACTGTGTATCTGTGTGTGCGTTAGAGTGTGCGACTGTGTGCGCGTGCATGCCTACTGGTGTGAACAGATGCTCAGACTCTGAAGTAACACCATTTCCCCTCTATGCATAGAAAATGATACAAAATGCATAAAGCGTGGGGTCAGACTGTGGGCTGTGTGGGCAATCTTTCAGAGACTCATTAAACCGAGGTTTTTAATGATGCAGGCATTGATGATGACCAGTACTAAATGGCCCATCAACAAACAGCACAGCTATCCTCCGCACAACCCAGTGTCAACGCGGTGGCTCATAGAAAACACCAGGAACAGACAAAAAACAAAGTCCAACTGAAACACTGATAGTTTAACCAGAGTAACTACCTATAGTAGGAGAAAGAAGAGTCCTTGTAACAATGACGGATTAAAAGTTATTCTAATTTTTTTGTCTGTCCATGTAGAATAAAACGGACATTAATTTTTAAGATATACAAATGTTATGCTGTGTTTCTATGGCCTTCAACAGGCCACATGCATTGCCTTGGTGAGTAATCCGGTCAGAACTATTGACTTAAACCCAATCTATGAGGGTGGCTCAACTTTCTGGAACTCCCAGAAAGGATTTGATGCTAGCATTGAGAGCTACTGCCCTGAGACAGTCTTAGTAATGAAGTATCCCTCCAAATTATCGCCTGGTGTTAAGTCTCTGAACTTCCCTCTTCCTCTAACACCGTTTGGCATTGGGCAACCAGAGCTCCACATTCATAAATAATGAATCGTATCCAATTTTAATTTCGGTGATCTTTTATTTCAGCTCAGGAAACATGGGACCAACACTTTTTACGTGTTGTGTTAATCTTTTTGTTCAGTAGTAAGTGATTTACATTGGGTTTTTCTCCATTCTGATTGTTTTATACTGTTCAAACTTCAACCAAAGATTATTTTAATCCATTTCTGCATTTCCTGCACGATCTGGGCAAACAAGTCTAGGCTAATTTCTTTACCAAATATTTCAATTATGATTTGACTTGCGATTTAGATCAAAACACTTGGCTGAACTTTTGGACTTCATGGAAATATAATTATTCTAATTCTATAGTTAGAATATAATAGGTGGCACTTTGAATACTGTGTTGCTTGACATGACAATGAATGAAAAAGCCAGGAAGGAGTTATTGTGACAGGGTAGGAACAAAAGTGTTGGTCAGTGTTTCCCAGGGGACCCTATAATCTTTGTCTACTTAAAAATGTATGTTTTCTCTTACTTCATGTAGCTAACATATTCATGCCTTTTCCTCATTGATTTAGAAGATGCTGTTGCACAAACAACATGCTGATTTAGGCCTACACCAGCACTAGTGTCAGGCTGTATTAGCTGGCTACGTTTGCCCCGACTCAGTACATTTAGTAGCTAGCTAGCAAGCTAACTAGTGATTAGCATAAGCGGCTAGCAACATTTATTTTAGCCACAACTTGCTAAGAAAAGACAAACTAGCTGTTTGCAGACAGTAAGATACACAAACTAATAGTGTAATTATAGAACGCTTGTGGGTTTATATTAAGAAGCAAAGTGGAAAGCAGCATCGTTGTCATCAACCTCTTTTTGCATCTGCTGCACTGACCATGTAGACTGAAGAGTGAACGGTCGGCAAGTGATCTCGTGGTCAAGCAACAACAACTGCGGTCCTTGAGTGACGGGCGGGGTTTGGTGAGAGAGAGAGAGAGGGAGGGAGAGAGACGACTCAAGGAGCGGAGTAAACTATAAAAACGGGCGTTCTACACGGCGGAGTCACCTATCACATTTAAATCCAAACATTAAAATACTGTTTCAAAAACCCAAACCCATCCATGCATCGATACCGGTATAGAGTAAAATACGGTCCAGGCCCCATCTCTGTGCTTCGAGGAAGGCCTTTTACCTCTGAATGATTGATTGAAATAGGTTAAGGAGTGTTTTGGTTGTTAGTCCTCCCTACTTAACCTGTCCTCTGGTGTTGGCTGAGGCTGAGCAGACTGACCTGAGAAGGTTGATTTTTAGACTGAACAGTAAAAGTAACAGTACAGTAACTCTGCAGGCCTGGATTATACACTCGCTACTTAGTGTGGGCCTCTAGCTCAGTTGGTAGTGTGTTCGATTCATGCGACCACGCATACATTCAAAAAATAATGCACGCATAAGTCGATTCAGATAAAAACGTCTGCTAACTGGCATACATTATTATAATTATGCAGGCCATCGCTCTGTCCCTTTACAGTAGCTGAGAAGCAGGTGTCTCAGTCCTCCCAGACAGACAGGTCGGACGGACCGATAGACACATACCAGGGTTTTCAGTTAGGAAAATGTGGCGCTGGACATTTGGCTGGCAGCGTTTTAATTTACCGGACATTTGAGAAATTTACGGGACCATATGGCGTCCACCCACAGTGCTCAGAATGACAGAAATCACATTTAGATTATGGTAATTCATATTAACAGAACATGCAAGTCAAGGATGCAATGATGTGCAGTCATTCTTACTGAATTCTGATGCGCACTTTGAAGATGTTAGAATAACTGTCCACATTTACTTTTCCTCAGCCAACGAACAGCAAAATCACAAGCCTATGTCAATCTACTATCCCCCATAGTAGAAAACTTGACCTATTCTGTTGGTCAGCTTGGCGAGAAAGAAATGGCCTATTCCACACAGACTCTGGGACTGTTGTGGGACGATGGATCCCAAATTCATACAACCAGGATGCCTAGGCTACATAAAAGTCAAAACGCAATGAGTCTGATGCAACAGATCAGAATGTTTAGCTTGTTCACATTGTACACGCAGCAAAGTGCACCAGGCAGTAGGCTACACGCCTTTGTGTGTTCGTTCTGTAATGCAAATAGCGGGAAAACACACACTGCACATGTGAACGGTTTCATTTGACAGATGAAATATCCGTTAGACATTTAGGGAGAGGAGAGATCTAATATGCAACAACTAGCATGGGTTGAGCAAGATACTTAACCCTAATTGCTACTGTAAGTCGCTCTGGATAAGATTGTCTGCTAAATGACTAAAATCTAAATGTAATATGTCTAGGATTGTGCCTTTGGCTACTGGACAATGAAAGGAAGTTTATATAAAATTGCCTCCACGGATATTGTCTGATTTTGGCTAGGCTACTTTGAAGCAAGGTAAGACATGCCTCATAATATGTATTAAAATGTTCAGGTTTCAAACAATTATGTTTTCAAAATGCATACTGCCTCCAGCTCATTGCAAGTTGTTGTGTGACGTGCTGATGAAGCCTTCCATTGCCTATGTATTCATTTCCTGTTTGAGATGCTGTAGCAGCAGCTCTCGCACTGTCTCACAGATTTTCTGCTCAAAGGTTCTGTATCTGTATGTTGTACGCGTGTGATAAATAAGATGCATAATGAATATAATGTACACGCGCCAATTTAATTCCACTAAATTATGGAAATGAACCTATAGACCGATAAGCATGACCAGTCAAAAGTATTTCCATCGACTGGTATTTACATCAATAAACAGGCT